AGAAACTATTTGTTCTGTAAACCTTCATCTAAAGTACAATAAAAAAAATTTTAAAAAAATTTCCCTCTTTTGCTGTCTTCATCTAATCTTTTATTAGGTTTAATGAGATCTCAGTCATGCAACTTGTTTTTGGGGGGACGGGGTTGTAACTTTTTAAGTAAAATATTTTAAACATAAAGAAATGTTCAGAGAATAATATATATTGTGCATAATGAAGTGAGGTCACTGTCCTGCATGTCTGAGCTCTGTCTGCTAAGACATGGGAACTAATTTGCAGCATACAAAGCTGAAATGAAGCTGATTGCCAGGGCACGGAGTGCCTCAGACGCACTGCCCTGTGCCCCTCTGTGCTTGTTCTCATAACTTAGGAATAATACCCAAGTGTGGATCCAGAGGAGTCCCTGGGTGATGCAAGTAGTTACACGCTTGGCTTCTAATCAAAAGGCTGGAGGTTCAAGTCTACCCAGAGTCACCACAGAAGAAAGGCCTGGCAATGTACTTCTGAAAAATCAGCCACTGAAAACCCTATGGAGCACCATTCTACACAGACACATCATGAGGTGACCATGAGTCCGAGTCCACTTGATGGCAACTGGTTTTTTGAGTGGTGGATCCGAGGCTGAACGCTGTGATGGAAGGAACGTAAGGTTGGGATAAGGCAGCCCCCTCTGGCTTCTAATCGTGGTTTTCCCACTGTGATGGCACTTAACGATACCTGCCATATTCTGAGGGTCTGTTATGTGCCAGGACTGTGATATTACCTACATTACGTTATTTTGTCCTCACAACAATCTTCAGTGAGTAGGCATATTTGTCCATATTTTACAGATGAGAAAACCAGTTCACAGATGTTAAATGATTGCCCCACAACACTGAGCTTGTAGGTGGAAAGGCTGGGATCTGAACCCACTTCTGTAAGATTCCAAAGACCAGCTTTTTCCACTATGACAACTACCACCTCCCATAACAGTCAAACTCTGAGCATTAGTTCTCTCACCTATATAACAGGAAAACAATGCCTATCTCTTGGGACTGTTGTAAGGATTCAATATGCTGTTGTGTGACCTGCTGACTGTGGTACTGAGCACACGGTGAGGGCTCGATTCCTACTTTTCTTCCTCCCTCCACCCTTTAATTGCTTCATTAGATCATGATATCCGACCATTTTCCATGCCCGTTGTTAATGACAAAGCTTTAGAACTCCTTGCCCTGGACTCTGGGTGCCATGAATCACAAACAGGATACCATGGGGGAGCACTATAGACATAGCCAGTTACTAAGCGCGGGGCCCGACAAGACTCGTATTAGTAAAACACCATGAAATCCCAGTCACTGCATAGACGGCTGTAACTCCCACGTTAGTCTGCCTTCCATTCTGGCCATTTTCTTGTTCACTGTGAATTTCCACAGTCTTGTTGCAGCTCCATTCATTTCTATAGATTTGGCCCAGTAACACAGCAGGTGTGCTAAGAGCACATATTCAAACTGCAGCTTTTGGTATGGGCCTGGGTCCTCCGGCTTCCTGTATGCAAGTTTCCTAGCCCGGACTCTGAGCCTCTGAACATTTTAAGTCAAGGATGCTGCAACGCCAGGCAGAACTGATGGAGTCACATGGTCCACTGCATTTCTATTTCCCGATTTCGTATGCAATCTTTGGGTACCTAGAGATGCTGAATTTAAAATATGAGCTAAGCCAGTCAAGGGCCTACGATGAGAAGAAGGCAAAAGGGGCTGAATTAGTGAGTCATTTGTCCAGGAAGAACACTCCTGCATCCTAATGAAGTTGCAAGGCCTGCGGTTCAATTTCTGTAGACAGGCTGCAGCTCCCGGCGGCTGGTCTGGCCAGGGAGATACACAGCTCTTTAAAAACCCATTGGACTCTGGCTAGAGGGAAATGCCACACTATTTTCTTTTCTTTGCAATTCATTTAAATAAATGGAGATTTTTTTTCCTCTTAAAGGAAGGAAATTAGGTTTTTCTGCTTCACTTCCTTTGTGTCATTATTCCTTTGGTCCAGCAAGCAACTTCCTGTTTAATCCTCTGTAATTAAAGTGCTTAGGAGATACCACTTGTGATCAAGAAGCCTCTCAGACTTTTTGCCAGAAGTTCTAGCTTTTGTTACAAATCCTGTCCAGGTTCTTGGCAACATCTACTCTACCCCTCCTCTCCCTGCTGCTCTGGGTAGAGGGTCCAGGTAGTAGTCAGCACACACAGCCTTCTCCAGAGCTCTCAGGGCAAAGGGTGACAGTTATCGCTTCACTCCCAATGGCAGACCTATTGGGAATGGAGTGTGCAAAGCTGAAGGAACAGTCAGATGAAGGGAAGGAGGGCCTGAAGCCCTGATCCAACCGAAAGGAGATGAGCACTTCCTGCACCGAAGTCCCCGCTGGGTGAGACCCCGCTTTGGCCTCGTTTATCTAACTATTCAGCTGATGGTGTGAGACAGCTGTTGCTCTCGGCAGCAGTTGTCTCTATGTGCTGCTCGTTAATCATTTCAGCACCTCCTTCTGGACTGCATTATGGGATGGAGGGAGAAAGGAATTGAGAGAGACTCGCTGAGAGCTCCTGAATTGTACAAAGACTCCATCAATGCAGAGGCAATCACCGACGGCCACCATAGCCCGAGTGGAGGCTAATGAGGAGTGGGCCCCGTAATGGCTCGCCGTTAGCCACATGGGATCACAGCAGACACAGTTCCCTGTTTGTCCCTAGTCACAGAGCACAGACATATGGTGCAGACCGAGAAGGCTGTCTTCTGCCTATTTCTCTACCCAGAAGCTTTGTGGCTGGAGGCTTTCTCCGGACTGTAAGGCTTACAAGCACTTCAGGCAAATTTGACTATTCAAAGAATCCTTCACCAAGCAGATAGACAGCACAGATGATGACAAGGTGGAGGAAGGAACAGAGAACTCTGTCAACCATTCTCATTCATGAGCTTCATTTAAACTCCTTCTGAGGTTACCAAAATGAAGACCCTCTACAGACACATACCACGACCCATCTTTTAGTTGGCCATACTGTGGTGGCTTGCACGTTGCTATGAGACTGGAAGCTATACCATCGGTATTTCAAATACACAGCAGGTTCACTGATGATGGACAGGTTTCAGCTAAGTTTCCAGACTACAACAGACTAGGAAGAAAGGCCTGGTGATCTAATTCTGAAAATTAGCCAATGAAAACCTAATGGATCACAACATAATATTGTTTGATACAGTGCTGGAAGATGAGCCCCCTAGGTTGGAAGGCACTCAAAATATAGGCTGCAACAATGGACTTGAGCACACCAACAACTGCGAACGTGAAACAGGACCAGGCACTGTTTCATTCTGTAAACACGAGGTTGCCATGAGTCGAAGGTGACTCAATGGCAACTAACAACAACACACAGACACATAGAAAACAATGGGCTGTACCCTGATCTGTGTCTTGGCCACAGGAAG